AGATACAACAAACTCTTGAACACAATATCCAGCAAAAAATATTGAGTTCCAGAACAATTATATATATGTATTTTCTAAAGTCCATCAAATAAAGATAGGGATGCATCCATTCTCTTTAAGTGTTACAACCTTTCACATAAAGATACCTTTTCAATTTGATGGTTATCTTTTATATGCTGATGCACTTATATCAATAGTTATTTCTATTGTTAATAAGTGCTCAGATATGTGAGAAAACATATCACAAATAGATGTAATGGTTCGAGACCTTTTCAGATCACTAAAACACACGAAAACACATTTTCCGTTAATAATTTGTGCTGTAGCGCCCAAGAGGCGCACTGCAGCGCGCGGGCTTAGCAAAACAAACCCGAGAGGTCTATTTTGCGCAGGCTGCAGCGCCCAGGGCGCACTGCAGCGCGCGGGCCTAGCAAAACAGACCCAAGAGGTCTGTTTTGCACAGGCTGCAGCGCCCAAGAGCGCTGCAGTGCGTCCGCGCGCACTCCTGCGCGCTGCAGCGCGTGCTTGTGTCAGCCCACTCTTCCTGAATGTATTTTAATCCAATTTTGTGATATCAAAATTGAGAGATATATTACAATATCTCTAACATAAACATGAGTTGAACAAGGCTCAACAGATGCGGCTTCTTGCATCATCAGGTGCCGTGAATTCGGCTGCAAATTCTGATCTTCCTTCAGTTGCAGTGTCCGCCGTGGATGATCATGCTAGTTCGAGCTCACTTCAATTATGAGCACTGTGTCAAAATCAGTGGTCTCTTCATTCCCCTTCCAAAAAGTCTGAGTAATTGCTTTTTGTAAGTATCGTAAGTGACGGCTTTGAACGGCGCTGTGCGAAGGATGTTAACAAGGTTCCCCTTCCAAAATCCTCTCAAGCTTGAGAAACCGCGATAGTTTTGACGAGGTCGAATAGATTCTTCTGCTCACCACGAACTATGTATTCCAGTTTCAATCTCTCAAGTGGTGCCACAAAAGTTCTGAGAGAACAAGAATAGTCAATATCCTCTCATCAACCAAGCACTTAATATATAAGTCTTCACATAACTATTAATTAATTGACAAGTACAAATAGTATACAATAATGTTTCTCATAATCAGTTAGCAAATCTTATGTCAGAATCCCAAACCAAATTGTTCACAAAACACGAAATTACCACTCAATTAGTAATCCAAACATTAAAGATTGAAGGTTTTCTTCAACAAGAAGAACCAAAACAGACCTGGAAACAATGGCGGCGATAGCGCCAGCCCATAAATGCTTGGTGGTGTTGACGGCAGCGCCTTTCCGAACCCTAATTTTCTGATTCTTCTTCTTCCTCTCCTCAACCACAGCGTCCTCGTACCCATTCTGAACCAAACACCTCTTCGTCTCGCGAACAATCCCGTCGCTTGTCAAGCTCACCGACAAGAACCTTCCTCCTCCGACTCCGACCGCTTTGAATCGACACAAATTCGACGACGACGACACAGAAGAACCCTTACCAAAACTCTGCTCCGCCGCCGGCGAGACCCAGCGAAGAAAGGAATTATTGGAAACCGCAGGCTCCAGAATCAACCCACCATTAATAGAGAAGCTCGAGCTTGAAGAAAAGAAAGAGGAATCGGAGCAAGAGAGCTCCGAATTTGACATCTTTAATGATTGGAAACGAGATTTCTCTCAGGTTTGCGATTCTCGAGCTTCGATTCCGTCAGAGTAAACGGCGATAAATGAAGTCGGGATTGGAAGGAGTGGGAGCTTCGGAGTTGGATAAAATGGCGGATTTGGCGGCTTTGCTCCCATGGCAGGACGAGATGGATTGCGCATTTCAGTTCCCTCACTCCTCGACTCACTCCGAGTTGGTTGAGTTGGTGGGGACTTCAAAAATTTTTCAAATTTTACTTTTTTTTTTCCTCTAAATTCGATTTTTTCTCTTTTGCTAAATCCTACTCCTTGGAAACCATCACAATCTCATCGGATTGCGGTGTTTTGTTTTTGTTTTTATTTTTTTTGACGTAATATTTTTGGATTAAAGTTAAATTATGAATTTTTTTAATAGAAACGATCCATCGTTTAGTTCGTACTGCCACAGGTGTCGTTGAAATTTAAACGATGTGTCGTGTGTTCGCAAATGGGGAAACGACGACGTGTTTCTCAGGCAGTTGCCGGTTGCATCCTAAATTTATCGTGATTTAGGAAAATGTATCGTAAACTCAAAACTTTTGATAATCAAGTGCTAAGCACTCGTTTAGTTCACTGATTTGAGTTTTTAATTCGAGTTGAAATGTGACTTTATGTGAGAGTTTTTTATTATAATAAAAAAATTATATGTGACTGTTTTTAGAGCGTTTTACTGTAGCAAAATTCAAATTTTAAACTTAAATCAGTGAAATAAACGGGACCAAATGATCAACCATGAATTCAAAATTCTTGACAAATAACACCAACAAATGACTGGTTACAAAACGGATTTGACAACACTTATCACCCATGCACGGTTTTAAAGGGGCTACAACTTGGAAATAAAAACAAATCATTTTAAACGAGTCCCAATTACCGTTGGGACCAAACTAACTGCACCAAATTTATCAAATAAATCAAAGTCGCTCAATGAGATATCAACTGTGGAACCAAATACAAATAGCATTGCTCATCAAATTTTAATTCAATCAAATAAATATTATGTTACATATCTCATTGCCATGTAAGATAATCCTTAACGGACAATCGTTAGTGAAGGACCAAAATATTTGCCAATATTCTTGGTGTAGTTTTAATTAGTTGAGTTAAATTTTATCTTTTAGAAGCACTAGCGCATATAACAAAAATAAGAAAAATTATATTGACACCCCTTAATTGTATAAAGGCACTCCATGATTAAGAAAATGACTAAAAAGGGCAACTTAAAAAAAAAACACAAAAGAATGAAAGAGCATATTCATCCACCAACTTCCCCTATTTGTTTATTTTCCGTGTCTTCTTATATTTTTCTTCACTCTCGCTGTCATATAATCAGTGGCAGAGTCAGGAATTTTGTTCAGTGGGAGCATGATTGAACTAAAATTTTGAACTAAATTTATAATGATGTAATTTTTACCCTTAACTTATCTATTTTATTCCTTTGATTTAAATGAATTAAGCTAGAGTTAAACATTTTTTTTTTTTTTGATTCAATAGAGTTAAATTGAATTTTCAACGTTTAAAGTCTAAAAACTTGTAAATTTATATGGTAACATGGTTAATTTTTGGTTTATTTTAGACTTAAATTCTAAATAAGAATATACTTAAAAACCAAAAATCAATGTCCAATTGAAATTTTCTTTAAAAAACTATGGAGAAATGACAATAAAAAAATTTGAGTGGGGGCAAATAAGGAGAAAAATGTTAAAAATTGTAACCCTGGGGTCAAATTGTAAGAGGAGTGTTTTGGGCCCAGTGGGGGCAGCTGCCCCAAATAGGACTAATACAGCTCTGCCCCCTGCATATAATCACACCTGAATAACTCTACATCTATTTTTCTTGTTGTTTTGAAGATATTATCGTATCATTCTGTCGAAATTCGTATGCAACATATATATTGAGAAGACTTGAAAAGAGAGGAGAAGAAACGAGAGAAAAAAAAAATGAAATTTAAGCTTTATATATTAATTTTTGTTGTTTGAAACTTTTTTATCTGTATGATTAGGTTTCTATATATATACATCAATCAAAAAAAATTCTATCTTAACCTATAATAAAGGATTAAAAAAATAAGAAAAAGAGGACGGAAAGAAAGAGGCATTAAGAAAGATGGTTCAAGTGTTCTATAAGTTTCCTATTTTATTTTTGGAACGAAAATATTTATGATGTCAATGATTTGAAAAGGCATCCAATATTTGTGGATTGAATTCATCATAAATTGTTGTCGTTAATGATTTTAAGCAAATTTACGCCAAAAAAAAAAAAAAAAAGAAAAGAAAAAAGCTTATGGGGTGTGGAGACGATGTCAAACAATTTGGGGGTGTGCAAGGATATAATTGTAATAAAGAGATTATATTTTTCAAATGAAGTGCCTTAATAAAAATATGGGGTGTCAATAAAATTTCCCCGAAAATAAATGCTGAGTTGGTATGCATGAGTTGGATAATCATATCCCGTGTTGTTTAACACTAAATTATAGGTTGTTTTGTATAGTTTGGATTAATCAGTGTGATTTTAATAATTACTTTAATATTTAATCTTCAATGGATATTATTATTTTAGCCGTGAGATAATAATTCAATGGCTATATAAATTAGATAGTTGACTAGAAAAATTTATAAAAATTAATAGAACTGAATTTTTGACACGCCATATCATATTTAGTGATAATTATCGATAGAAATGTAACCATTGAAAACTCATCCTTAGATCAATAACATATATATAGGGAGAGACAAAATTCAAGATTGCCTTAGTGGATTCAAGAAACGTAACCATTGAAAAGATTTATGATGTCAATGATATGAAAAAGCATCCAA